AGTGACCATCAGTGGCCTGAGAAAGGCTTGCAGGCTGAGGGAGTGCAATCTGGGCAACATGGTGATTGACGCAGCGGTGTATGCTTACGTGTCAAAGTTCAGCAGCAGATCTAACAGCAGTTACTGGACGGAAAGCGCCGTTGGAATCATGAACGGTGGCGGGGTCAGAGAATTGGAGAAAGATGCCGGACAGAACATTACCTTGGAAGATCTGTACAGCGTTCTGCCATTTGGAAATACATTCAACCTGATAAAACTCATGGGAAGCACGATACGAGCTGTTTTCGAACACTCAGTGAATCAGTACAGCGAAACTGAAACTCATGGTAAGTTCCTGCAGGTGTCTGGAATAAGAGTGGTGTACGATCTCAGTAAACCAAACGGCAGAAGAGTGAAACTGCTGTCCCTGCTTTGTAGCAACTGTACACTACCAAAATACGAACAGCTGGTCGACAATGCAACATACAGCATTATTGTTCCTTCGTATTTGAAAAATGGCGGCGATGGCTACGACATGATCAAAAAATACATGCTATACACTGACTTATCAGATAACAGTGACATAGAAGTTGTCATGCAGTACCTGAAAGTTCACAATCCATTCATGACTGGTGTCGAAGGCCGCATATCGTTTGTTGGCGAATCAGAGTACAAACAATTTTGCAATTTTGGATCACGAGCTCTATCGTCTTTTCGACTGTTTAGTATCATTCTGTGTATATATGTTTTACGAGCATGATGTTATTAAGTTTCACTAATTTCATCTTCTTCATCTTCCATCGCCGCTTCTTCTTTCGGGTCACGGAGACAGACACGTCAGACAGAGCTTCCAACGTTCCCGATCCTGTGCCAGACTCTGAGCTTCGGCAAAAGATATATGGAGTCTGGAACAGAACACCTTCCCTATATGTTTCACTAATTTCACGAAGCTAATTCTTAAATGTAGTTTTTTTCTATCAGAATTTGAATGAATGAGCTGTTCAGCATCACGACTACATGCCATATACAAGCTGTTCAAACGTGCGATGTTAAGCCGAATTGAATCTCACTGGAAAAAGCTGTCCCTCCCCATCAACAAGTTCAGACCAGAGTAAAGCTGTTACGATCAGTGCCTGAATTTGTGACCTTATGCTGAAAAGAGTTGTTAAGCGAATCTTAATGACGAACCTCTGTTTTCAGCATATGGTACAACCTGGAATAATGGGCGGTTGCTAAAACTTGGCAAAATTCTTCAGTGTAAGCAGATTGTTGATTTCATAGTAATTCATTTATTTTATCACTTAAGAACAACAGACAGTCAGATCGGTAGACAGGAAAAATCCCACACGATTACTTCAGGATGGTTTTTCGTTGTCCATAATACGTTTTAATAACGTGCGGATTTCTTACCATGTTTTGGAATTTACAGTTCATGCTTCAGTTCACATACATTCCACAATGCAATCTCAACACAACTAGACATCTTCCCAACCAAAGCCACAATTTCAACACCCATCAGGGTTCATTATCTTATGGGAACTAAACCAAAATTTACTCATTTTCTACACTGAGATGCATTATCACTAAAGATGATCCTCTGAAATCAGCATTGATCGCCTACTCTGATTTGGTACGTAAACTACTTAAACAATGAAGAAAAAAATTGGATTTAGATGACAACTGTTACAGTTAAAAGCAAAAAGGACACATTTAGAATTAATTATTTACAGCTTTATTCTGCTAACAGCTGAATGTGAAAAGCCGTGCACTTTCCAAATTACACGAAAATGAAATCTCTTATCTACAGAAACCGTATGATTTAGTCAGCTAGATCATCATAAGTTGAGCTGTAAATTATAGTGAATAAAATACAAAAGATTTATCTTGAAACAAATTCAAGAAATTCAAGGGTCGCAACGATTTAAAGTAAGAAACTACTTTTCCTGCAATTTGCTTAATGAACTTCACGCCTTCCTTAAGTTGTACATTATGAACATAGAAACTGGAACAAACTCATAAAATTCTATTCTGAATATTGAAATTTTTCTACTGACGAAACAGACTGGCATAGCGACACAGTGTGTAAGAAACCGGCTTCCAACTTCGGCGGAAGATAATTTTTGTGTTAATAATAAAGTCCTTTGTGCAAGAAACTAAACGCACCTTGCTTCAGGCGCTTCAGCCAGTGTGGCTCAGTCGGTAAAGCGTTAGACTAGAAACGAGAGGTTCCATGCTCGAGTCTCAGTCACGGTTAATCGCATTTATTCCACCTTCAGGTTCATAAGTGAGCGGTGCTCTGTGGGAAGGAAACAGGAAGACTACATCCCATACCTGCCACATAGTTGCTGTCAGCCCTGCATTGAAATGATGCATTTCTGCTACCATTTCCTTGATGAAAAGGCGAAACTAAAAAAGTTAAGATCGACATTCTAACGGCTAAAATTACCTCCTTTTCTCTTCCCTACACACCTGTTTCAACGTAGAACTGGCATCAAAAATTTTTTCTTTAATTAAATAGATGACTGCGAGTATGGCTGCTGATGTATGCAGCATAGATATCACGCTAGCACGTTATGAACACCTAATAGTTTTTAACTGCGGGCTTCACAGCGCTTGACAACACTCCGTTGTGCTTCGCTATAGAATTATCCATGCAAAGCATACATTCCTGATTTTAGACAACTGCCATAGAAGGATATGACATTATTTTACTGCATTAAGCAAGACACGGGAGATTTTTCAAAGCCTGCATTTGCAAGACAGCAAAATATGATTTGCCCTTTCAAATGCGTCAGGAACAACTTAGCAAGATTAATAATATAAATCAGAATGACATTCCCGATGCTCTGGAAAGTTAACGTCTTTTCTTGCCAAACTACTTATCACATTGAACCTAAAATAACTTATGTCAATGTATGACTGTTCTGATATACGAAAAGGAACCGCACATGCCTTACCTCCGAAGTAAAAATGTAGAAAGGGATAAACAGAATTGCTCTACTGAAGCATATGTAGGATCATTGTTCAAGGAAATATGCGTTTCTGTCAGCTTTAGAATTTTCAAATAATGTCCCGTAGAGAAACGCTTGGACTTTGTAATGATGATTCAACGGAATGAAATCAATCCAGAATCAGTGAAAAACTGATCAAATAATAATCAATCTTATACCTTATTTCACACGACAGAAATTATACAGTTAAAATGCACGGGTCAACACTCGTAGCCTATGTACAATGCCCTTGAACGTATCACACTAGTCAGCCGTAGCTGGCTGATGATGTAGATTTTCATTTCATCTGTTGGAGTCTCTCTTCAGCGGCTTGACGGGAGTAATTCATTCTACAAGCCGAATACATGAAGTTGGAGGAAGATGCAATCAAAGCAAACGAAATAGCACCGATAACAGTTGGTTTTGAAGAAACTGAATCACTGCTCAAAAACTTAATTATTACCTTAAAGAAATTTTTAAGTGGCTTGGTTTCCAGAGACAGCGCAGTTGTTAACGACAGCGTGTGTAAGTGAATAAGTAGATTTAATTAAATTAAAAAATTAACTGAATAAATTAATGATCATAAAACGGAGCAACGGAATAAACAGCAAACATTGGAAGGAAAGGACAACAGACTCCCATAAAGAGAAAATTTTTTGTTGCCTTGATTTACGTTCTGAAGTGACGGGCTGAAGCAACCAAAACTAGAACGTCTCCAATTTAGTGGACGATTCCTGCACATAGGATATTTGGCGACAGTTCTTTAGGTCAGGTGGCAATTATAATAAATAACATTATAATAATATAATATTACATCATACTTTTCTTTCGATCACTGAGAAAGTGCAGGTTAAAAATCGTCAAAAGAACATACAATATCCAGAATCAT